TAATAATAACATAACAGGTCACCAATCTAACATGTTTAGCTCTATAACATTTAAATGCAGCACTCCAATGTCTAAGAGAAAAAATGTAATGAACATTTTTTAATGCATGACCTGCATCACTGTACAGAAGACTATATGATAGCCATATTTACACTGTGTGCATGGAATACAATTATGCCAATTTTCCTAATCCCTGACCGATCATTTTTAATCTAGGGTTATCTGAGTGGAGGGTGAAATGGGTGGAGTGAAAAAAATGTCTGATTCGCCCCAATTCCCGGACAAAAATTACGCCATCTGGCGGAAAATCACGCGGCTTTTTTAAATCAAGCGGATTTTCCAATTAACGCGACAAGGTGTACAAAACAACAAAAATGTCCCGGACAAAAATTACACCATCTGGCGGAAAATCACGCGGATTTTCCAATTAACGCGACAATGTGTACAAAACAACAAAAATGTCCCGGACAAAAATTACGCCATCACGAAAATCACGCGGCTTTTTTAAATCACACGGATTTTCCAATTAACCCAGAAGCGGCAACGCTTCTGGGTCGTTTTCATCGAATGTCGGTGATTTTAAAGTAAGTTTGAGTGATAAATAAAAAAAAAAATTGCGATCATTGCACTTGCCCGGCGGGCAAATGCAATGAAATTTGTACTCTCCCGACAATAAAAACTGCTTGCCCCGGGCGATCGGGCGATGGTTAACATCGAGCCCTGGCATCTATGAGTCCAGGGCTAAAACTAATCAGATTAATTTATTTTTGACATAATTGTCAACTAATTTAGCAATCATTTAATCATTTACTTAAGCACAGAGACTGTAAAACATCCAATCTGATCCGATTATTAAGTAATTGAAAAAAGTAATTGAAAAAAAATCAACAGATTAATCTATTTGCAAAATGATTGTTAGTTACAGCCCTAAAGAAATCCCTGTTGAGGTTTGAGAAGTAGAGTTCTGATTGGATAACATCAAAATACGTGACTTCCAGCGAGGCTTGTCCTCTTAGGGTCTATGGATCAGGGGCCGGTCATGAAGATTGATGCTTGATCCTGATTGGAAAATTTACCAGAGGATCTTCCAGTGACGGGAAGGAGGTTTTCCTCACAAGTCGACAGCGAAAAGTCTTCACTCGGTTGTCTTGTGAGGAACTGTGGC